AACGCACTGATAGACTTTAATTGGTAAACAGTTTGATATCAAACACACTATAATCCTTCATGATTAAGATTACATCCATTATCAAAGTGGTGTCATGATTTAGGTGGCAGAAGGGTGATCTTTATGAAAAGATACATGTATGTATACTTTCCATGAAAAGTAAATCAGTTGTACCATGTTTAATCCAAAAATACATTCACAAAAAATTATGAAGAAATACTGTCAGAAAACTAATTTGAAGCCTCAATCTACCATAAACTTTTTCTCTCCGTCCACTGTGCATGTCACCTTCTATAATTTTGCGAGCCCACCTTGCAGCAGGATCCGTTAAAACATGATGCAGAGCACCTGTTGATGTGTTGGATCATGAATCCCTATCTAAATGTGCTCAAATCAAAGAGGCCCTAAGTTACCACAAGCCATTCAAAAGCTGGTCAGTCGTCAATCATAAGCCAGTCACACGTTATTTAGCCTCAAGTCACATTCTGTGCAAATGAACTGCCTGAAAAGGCATTGCTTATCACATATTCAATCTCATGCAACATGCTTTGCAAATGAACTGGGCCATAATCACTCCTCTGACCCTTATCCAATTCCAAGCTGATCTCGACTCATTCAGCCTCCTGTATTCTTTGAGTGAACTGTGCCAAGGCCTTGGGCTTGTCTCATTGTTAACACGGTCGATGGAAAGGACAAGTTTATCAACGGCGATCCGTTGCTTTCCATATGCGGTGTGGATGCCTTGTGTTGTGTGGCTGTTACCGTAATTTACAGAATATAGACTGTGCAGAGTATAAGCAGTGAAAAGCTGCAAATTTAGATTTGAAGTCGGCGTATTAGCCTCATCGGCATTTAAGGGCATCGTTGCCTAGGTGCTAGTCTTTTATGAAGCACTGTTTGTGCTGTACGTAGACCAAACTTCAGTGATGGGTGCAGTTGGCACAAAAATTAAGCCATTAGAAGGGCAGAGTTATTTTGAGTTTTCCATGCATACTGAAATACTTTTCATTTTTCTTTCAATGTCGTAGCTTTATCAGCAGTAGGAGCACGTCCCAACCAGACACGCCAGATGGTAAAAGCACTGTTCAGAACACTAGCAGCATCGGCGTTGGCCAATCACAACGTGCAAAAGCCGTCGAACCTTTCCAAATGCGCATTGGGTCGGCAGATTTCGCACTTCGTGATTGGCCAACGCGTTGCAAACTCTTGGAGGGGCACTATTGGGAATCGCCCTTATTAGTCAATAAATCAAATGCTCCAATTTAATGAACAGCTTTACATTCTGAAAATGCATTAAGGACTAACAGAACATGAATACAAACAGAGAGTGTGAACAGACTTGTATACAAAGTCTGTCTTGATATTTAAATACTCACTAAAGGCTTTAGATGTTCTGGAAAAATGGGTACGTTTTGCCACAGGTGTTCCGGCTTTGATTTCATTCTGCACTTACTATCTTTCAGTGTGTGCAGCCCGACATCAATATCTCTGTCTGACACGACACCTGTTGTTTTTGTTTTTCTCTCAGGAACACCTGAAAAGAAGCGTGGGAACACAATCTATGTCCACGGCTATGGAATCTCCCATGAAGTGTGCGACAAAGCCTTCAAAGGCATTGGCACGATTTCAAACATCAATGTTGAGTTAGAAAAGAGGTAATAGGTCAAACATTACATGTTCAGTAAAACCTTTGATAATTTTGCTCAGGAAAAAGTACAGTGCACTTATAACCGTGAGAGTCCTGCAATGTAAGTCCTGCTCTCACAGGCAAACGATAAAGTCCTTACTTCTCCACTTTACGATGACAATACCGTACTATTGTCACCAGTAAAGAAGGCATGGGCCAGACATGGTACGTGATTTTACAGCATCAAGTGCATATGGCACAGAATACACATGGATGATTTTCATCAGAATGTGTACAAATGTGTACTATAATGGCATGGTTGCCGAGCAAGCCTGGCAGTAATGGTATTCACATATCTGTAACATATCCATTGCTGTCACTGTCAAACGACTTCTCGTGCACACTGCACAGAGACCGATAACCTGCGCAGAGTAACTCTGACCCTGTTGACGAAGCTACCATCAAAAATCAGGAAGTGACAACGTAAAGTCATCTGATATAAAATAGATAGCTGTGGTTATATTACATGTTTTCTGTTATTTCTGTTTTGTATTTGTAGCTGTGCCTTCATTACTTTTGATGACATTGACGCTGCTGATCGTGCCATTGAAGAAATGAACGAGAAGATGGTATCAGGGGTCCGACTCCACGTGTCCTTGGCCCGACGCCAGCGCAACGTACACAGGTTCAACAGCAGTGATTCAGCGCAGACCGCAGGCAACTCACAGTGGGCAAACTTGGGTAAGGAGATTTATGCCAGAGATCATGATATATTATATTAATTAGGGAGGGTCCACAAAGTGCTTTATTACTTCAAAATTCTTCAAAAATTCATTACTTCATTTATTGGACGTTTACACCCACACGAATGACAGCCGGGTTTACACCCACACGAATGACTATCAGGTGTCTACTCTAATCTGGCAGGCAACCTCCATTGATGTCCAAGTATTTCAGATTGTGCGGTGTTGCATAATTTCCTTTGGTCCTGAAATTGGCACAGTGTGTTGCTGAATGCTAGTGGCATCTTTTCAAGTGTGGCTGGATTAGCATGCAGCGGTACTGTATCGCCATGCTGGAGTGCTTTTGTCCCTGCTGATAATCTGCTGGCACTGAAAGCCATAAACAGTGGTATGCTGTTTCAAAACAATGGCGGATTACCTCCGCTTATGCCAATGCCAACTAAAAAATGACGGCAAATCCCAGCAGCTCAGTCTTTTGTTACAAGGCCCAGCTCTTTTGTCCGATTTCGGTTTCCCCGGCTATGCATACAAACCCAAGGTGCCGGGTTCCAGAAACCTCGGAGGCAAGCGGTTAGCATTTGATAATGCCCACTGAGAAGTGATAATGCCCACTGCATAAATCACACACTGACGCCTATATACAAGACAGTTTTAATCGGCTCTGATTGGTCAAGAGTCTGTGTGAATGCAGCTTGCCACACACACGCCAAGCCCATATAAGGAATCCTGAATTGACTTCTTTTGACTCTCTGACTAATAAGGGTATTTAAGAATAAATATGTGCTTGGCTGGTCTTAAGCTAATGTTTAAGACTGGATCAGGAGACTGAATGCTTGCCTTTTCAGACTTTTTTAACATTTCTAGTGAGCAAACCTCCTCATCCAAACACAAGGTTTATGGGAGTTTATCTCAAAGTCAGGGAAAACGATGTACTGGATAATGATGTAACTGATTAGTACAAACAGTAAATGGATAAACTTCAAATTGTCCCACTGCCTGGGATTGACGCACACGTTATCAGTCACAACACTGGATGCAACTTCACAACACAGAGACTTGGCCACAAATGGAAGTAAAAGATACTCTCTATGAAATTTCATTGTGCACCAGTTAAGCATCTTTAGTGGATCATCACAACATTTCCATTCTTTGTTGTCTGAGAATGACATGAGAGGCTCTTTTTTGAATTTTCTCAACATCATCAATAGAGGTGTGAGTTAACAAATTCCATCCTGGCAGACCTCATAATCAAAGGGTAAAATGAGCAACTTATAAAGACAAAACCAAGCACTGGCTCCATTCCAAAAGTGCTCATGTAAACAATGACTGACAGGAGTACAGAGGCCTGTCAACGTCTCTGCCCTCACAGTTAACCAGTTACTCTTCTCATACACAAAATCTGCATTGAAAACCTTTTCTATGCTAACTGATTGTAGATCAGCTAGACATCCAGCAACCCACTGTTCATATGCTGCTCCACATGTGTAATTGAAATCATATCTGTCCTGAAACTTGGACTCGTGATTGCTCCTGGTACTGTCAGTAATGCTGCCAAGACTGTTGTTTAGTTGTATCAAAATCTTCCAGCTAGGAGGTTGGATGGAGGACTAGACACCTGTGGGCCGATGAAAGAATGGAAGATCTTGAGATGGACAAGATGACAGCAGGCCTGTTAATCAGATTACCAAGCACTTTTTCTTGAATGCAAATCCTGCAGTGATTACATTTACGGGGTTTTACTTGAGAAACCATACCCACAGGATAAAGTCATCCATGATAATGCCATCTGGTGTTTCTTTGCAGAGCGTTCACCTTTAGTTTTTCTATCAGTCACTTGTATTTATTTTCTTTCTGCAGCCATGGGGAACCTGAAGGGTGTCAAACACAAAGACAAAAGAGAAATGCAGGTGTACGGTGCAGATGACGACCTATTCTTATGAATACTCTCCTCAAGACACTCATGCATATGCAGGAGCAGTAGCCGCTTTCATGAATATGCGACAGGTACTCACCGAGAGAGGGCTGTGTAGGTGTGTAAGGCAAGCCCACTGATGTGTGGCAGGAGCGCAAGAATGGTGAAGCGCTAATTTTACAAGGAGACTCAGATTTATGTAGATGAGACTACCAGTTGTCATGGACATGCAGCAGAAGTATGGTGCCGATGAATGAAGTTTCTACTCACAAAAGTGTTCCAGCTCTTGACTTACGATATTTCTGCATATATTGATGACTGAACCACTGTGGACATGCTGGGAGCTGCAGAAATCGAGTCTCGGTTTTACACCACTAACTAGTTTTGCTCTTCAAAGAGACAACGTGCTGCACGAACTGATTACCGGCTGACAGATCATGTGATGTATACATGTATGTAGGGGAGGGGATCATCACGTTCTCTGCAGGAAAGTTAAAGGCATACAGGCATTTGTCCTGTATGATTGAGGAACCCATGCTGCCGTGGTCAAGAATTTGCCAGTTATACACAACTGGACCGTGATGGCTTTGCTTAATATTAGCTGACTTGAAGGGCCTATACAATGCTAATTTTCTATGGAACCCTTGAAAATGCACCTTTGTGTCTCAAATAACACTAATATTTTCAAATGTTGTTCTGCTGTTTTAACAGGTATTTGGGATCCTTTTTGGTTGTTACTGTTTCATGATTGAAACTTTTATGTCATTCCAAGTAGAAATCCCCAATGCCCTTTTGATCTGTGCATAAAACCTGCTGCAGTTGTTGATATGTTGCTGGCCTAAATCTCCTCTTGTTTGGTGATTCATTGTTTTGTAAGTACATGTACCCGACAATCAGTCAGCAAGAAGTCCTTTGTCAGAAATATTTTCAATGAGCAAATTTCCGGTTCTCGGTCTGGACAGAAAAACTTACTGACAGAACGGTATCTTCCGCCAGTGACATCGTAGCGGCAGTACCCTCAGCTGTCCAGCAAAGCATGAATAATTTTTGTTTGGTTTGTAAAGTGCACTTGTTAATGCATTTAACCCAACAGGAATAACAAATAGTTTTCATAGCTCAAAGAGGAGTGTAAAGTTACGCAAAAAGTGTCTGCCAAATATTCATTGCATGAACCAGATAATATTTTGCCATCACCAAGGTGTTTTTGAGTTCCTATTATTTGTGTGTCTGGATGGGTCTGTCAAATCAATATAATGCTAACTTCTTAAACCAATATAAGAGTGAATTTGAAAGGAATACATCTGAAAATGTGCTCTTTGCTATTTAAAGTTCTCTTGAGAAGCACTTGGCCCTAAATTTGCTTCAAAACAGCTGAAATTTGACATTGTCCATGATCTGTGTATGTACAAGTAAATAAAGAAATTCAAAATAAACGAGTTTGGCTTGCTTCGTTTGCTTAATTGCAAATGGTTTAAGAGAGATGATTGTGTGACATACTTTGTTTTATTTTGCATCTACGAGGTGATCATGCAGTGGGGTGTGAGTTCAAATTGCAAGGGAATGTTTGTTTAAACAGGAGATTACACAATTTTACAAAAATGCAGGAGCGTGATATTGGATGGTTAATCAGTTACCTTTATTCACATCGAAATTAACTCGCGCATGTCAATAGAATGTGACCTATGTGAAAACAAGCCAGAAGGCCATTTTTTTTCACACAGTTTTATTTTGGTTTGCAGTAGAAAGAGCAAGATTAACTCTTTGTTTTGACGAGTCACTCTTTTTGCATCCTAATGAACGTGGATATTACGTGGGAGAAAAATGTTGAGGGTGCTTTTTGGTTTCTATTGTGTAACTCAAAGGCCCCGTACTCAAAAGCGGCTTTGGCGACTTGTGCCTTGTTTTCACCGTGTGTCATAATTCTGCAATTTTCAAACTTTTAACATTTAGCTGAATCATTGCGAAAATTTGCATTTAAAGATACAACCCAAACTCAAAGCATGATACCGAAGGGAGAAAGAAATTTTATGAACTTGTTAATTATGTAGAACATTTCCTTGGGGAATCAATCATACAGAATACGCATACAGTTCTGATCACCAGTAACATCACTCATCATAACATCATGTCACTCTGACATCATCATTGGCATAAGTGTCAGAGTTTATTTCATTTGGCTCGTTGAGGTTTAACCAAGGTCCAAGCTTTTCCTTGATGTTTCACTGAAAAAATCGAGGCACTAAAATAGTTCATTAGCTTGTCAGCCTAGGAGATTGGGAGTACTGGGCTCTTCATAACATGGGACTTTGGGGTCTGAGGACAGCTTTTCATTGCTGGGAGCTTCGGGCTCTTCAGATAGCTACTCATCACTGGAGATTCTAGGTTCAGAGGACGGCTCATCTCAAATGGGGACTTCAGGCTCTGAGGTTGGAGAGAACTACTCTGCTGAAAAGTCAGATATCCTGGGGGAGCCTGCTGTTGCTAGGAGGCTTGGCCGTGGAGACTCCAGGTTCTTGGGACGGATCCTCAAAACTGGGGGTTTCAGACTCGAAGGATGAAAACCAGTCTACTGGCAAGGAGAAGCTGGCGACAGGAGGCTCGGACAGGGTGCTCCTACTGCCGGCTGAATCATAACAATCGACTGCCTGAATCAGCGATAGCACTGCCTGTAGGGGAAAATTCACACAAGACGGTAGCGGATTGCGCGATGGTAAATTGGCCTCAAACACCAGCTGCAAATTCAGCGAGTTTATTTATTATTGCTTTGGTCCCTGATAACTTGCATAGGTAGCTGACAACTTTCGACTTACAGCAAAAAAACAGCATTTACAAATCTCTATCAAGTCTTTTTTTCCTTACATACATGTAAATTTTCACGAATGGAAATATAAATTAAATTAAAATTTATATCTTTTTTTCCTTCTGTGATAAACTTTACGACGACAGTATACAAACAAGCAAATCATAAAACACATTCTGGGTCTACCTCTCTTAGTTCTTGAATCCTGTCGCTGTCCGCTCCCCTGCAGCCGAAAACGAAACTGTCAATCATTCCGATGCCTTCAATGGCCTTCAACTTGTCCATCCTCGAAGACAATCGACCGAGCAAACTGGTCGTCTTCGGCTCCGTGTTTCCCAAGGGCATGGGCTCCGCCACCATCGCCAGCCCTGCCAGGAGCTGGCTTACTACGACCAGAACTATTGAGAAATTCATGACGGGATTGCTTTCTCACGAAGAGACTTCTCGGCCGCTCGAAAAGCACTTAGGCTGCGGTGAAATCCAAGTCAATTTGGGGCGGAATTTGGACAGCGCAAGGGTCTGTGTCGTATGATAAAATGGAGATGACGGCGACCAGTGGAAGTTTTAATAGGTACATGCCCAACATGCAGTCAATCCCTTATCCACATACTGAATGATTGTTGATTGGAATACATTATAGGTAGATCTATGAAAACTGTCTGGGAAAAGTTGGAATGACATCGAGCATTTGCTGAAATCCAGCTGACAAACAAACACCTGTTGAATCACGTCACGACAAGATCAATTAAGTATATTATGTGAATATTGCACGCGTGTATTTGTGTAATGGCAGGATTATATTATTATATATTAATTTGGTGTGAAGGAGAATAACACCTTTAGAGTTTCGGCTCCATTTGCTTACAATCTTATGGGGGTAGGCTATCTACATCATCTTTGAATTTTATCCCACCAAATTTGCCACTTCTAATAATGTCGCCTCATTTACAAGGCTAAACGTCTCCATCTC